AACCCAAGTGAAATTGGAACTCTGTTTTTCAATTTCCAATTATGAGTCGTTATCCAGTACACCACCACCACGTCCCCAATTATAGTACCTGGTGTTCTCAAGCAGTTACCCATCTAGGTACTGACCTGGCTTGATGTTGCTTAACTCCAGTGATCTTCCAAGAACCAATGTTTCAACTAGATATGGTCATAAGACCAAAAGATAAAAAAAATAAGGTGTAAATCCTCCTGAGCAAACCAGTTTTTCCATTGACTTTTAGCAAAGTGAAGTGTTGATAGATTTAAAAGATTAAATAATAAAATAAATTTACACATAAAAAATGAGATTAAATATTCTAAAATGTATTCCTTATCTGTCATCTCATTATAAAAAGAAAAAAATATAAATTTTTAGAATGAGATGACAGATAAGGATTAATTTTAGAAATTTTTATCTCTTTTTTTTATTGTTAATTTCATTTAAAATTTTTAATTTATCTTTGATAAGAGTTGAACTGCTGGCTGCTGAAGAGGAATTATGTCACCTGCTTTTTTTTTCTTTTGCTAGTTTGGTTTGGTTTGGTTTGTTTTACAGCATATCAACCTCAATGGGTTATTTAATGCTGACAAGATTTTTATTGCTGGTAATATTTTTTCAAAAATGTATTGCTGAAAATATTTTTTTCCAAAAATGCATTGCTGGTAATTTTTCTTCAAAAATTCATTGCTGGTAATAATTTTTTACATAAATATATTGCTGGTATTAAACCTATTTTTACACATTTTGACACCAGTTTTTGGGGAGTTAACTACTTGTCCTAACAGATGCTACAACCCCGGGTCAGGGTGGACCTGGGAACAAGAGCAATTAAGAGGTAGCTCCATGCTCCTGAAAACCTCCTGACCTGACCTGATCTATCTATCTATCTATCTATCTATCTATCTATCTATCTATCTATCTATCTATCTCAGTATGTATTGGTTTTGTTTGTTTTGTTTTACGGCATATCAAACAATGGGTTATTTAATGCTGACAAGATTTTTGTTGTTGGGACTATTTTTTTTATCTATCTATCTATCTATCTATCTATCTATCTATCTATCTATCTATCTATCTATCTCAGTCTATTTATATTCATCTATTAGTTTGGGGTTTAACTAGTTGCCCATAGCTGGGACCCTGACAAGTGCTACCACCCCGGGTAGGGTGGACCTGGGAACACTAGCAATTAAGAGGTGACTCCATGCTCCTCAAATCCTCCTGACCAGCGGCCTTGCTGCTGGATGTAGTTTATCACCTTACCCAGGATGCTCTTTTTGTTAGTAATTTTCAACCTTGACCTTGTTTAAACTTCCACAAATTTATTGAAAAGTGAAAAGCGAAGAATGTGTCATGGATTTGAATCAACCCATAACAAAGAAAAAGGCGAGAAAGGTTTTTAAATATAAAATTATAAATTATTTTTATTTTCATGTTTTTATAGCTAAATTTCTCTTGGCATGTTTAAGTGTTAAAGTTCTTGTGTTAAAGTTTCTTGTTTGTAGTTGATTGCTAAAATGAAAAGAGATGTGATTTCCTCATGTGTATGTGTGAGAAAAAAGAGGCAATGGAGCATCCTTATGGTTAATAAATTAATTCTTAGCAAATAAATATTTAACATTTTTTTCAACCAATGAGTCACATCCCTGCCAACAATAAAAAATATGCTTTGTGATTCCTTTGAAGAATATATAAGCAAAGTCACCAGACCAGATAAGTCAGTAAGAGTAAGGAATGGCAACAGATGGCAGCAGTTCACAATGCCTGGTATGACTTCAAAGATATTCCCTTATTCCTTCACCTGTCTTCCTCACCAAACTACGTAGCACTTACACCCTTCCTCACCTATCTCATTGACACTTACACTTGCTGCCTCTTTTTCTCCCTTGCCTCTTTTTCTCCCTTGCCTCTTTTTCTCACACATACAGATGAGGAAATCACATCTCTTTTCCTCTTAGCAATCAACTACAAACAAGAAACTTTAACACAAGAACTTTAACACTTATGCACGCCGAGTAACAAACAAACCCACACTGTTCTTGTCCTATCTCTTTCCTGATTCCGCTGCACTCTATTCATCAGAATATAGATGATGAGTTTTGTTATGTGGCTCATTAGGCTGATTGTTCAGTGGAGTTCACATTCATTTGCACCTGAGTTCTTAGGCAGTGCTATGAAAATAAATTTGCTGAGATCTTCCTGTATATCCCCACTCTTGTAGATTTCATTTATTTATTTCTGTAATCTTGTCTATGCCAAAATCATCTAAGGCTGTCATCATCTCTGTTACAATTCTGTCTGGCCCTGTTTAATTTGGTCAATGCACCTTCCATTTCAGTTTTTAGAATTTCAGATCAGTCTGTAAATCTGTGTATTGTCTTGTTGCTCTCTTTTGTCATGGAAGAGTTCTTGAATATATTTGTTCCAGCACTGAAGAATTTTTTGTTCTCTAATATGAGCATTCCATCCTTTGATTTTATACAGCCTGTTGACAAGCATGTCTTCTGTCCTGTTAGTTCCCTTATTTGTTTATGCCTATCTCCTTTGTTGGTGGTACTCAATCTCTCTATTTCTGCACATTTTTTGTTTATCCATTCTTCTTTAGCCTACCTGCATTTGGTCCTTATTTCATTTTATAGTTTACTGTATTCCATTCTGTATCTTGGCAGAGTTTTTTGTCTCCTTTGCATCATGTTAAGAATCTCATCAGTCATTCATTTTGTTCTTCCTTGTTTGTTCACATTTAGGATGATATAATTTGCTGATGTCACTAAAGCTTCTCTTGGTGTGTCCCATTTTGAGTTTCTATTTCCATTGTGTCCTTCGTATCTTCTTTTCACACTGTCCATATATTTTTTCTTCATGTGCAGGTCCTTCAGGAGTTTGTTGTATTGCAATTTGGGTGTTGCGTTAAGCTCATTCAGTTTCTGTATTTTCGCTCTTAGTTTACATATACCAACTTGGTTTTGTCAAACACCATTACATGGCAATGTTGAAATCTATACAAAGGCAAATATTTCCTAATTTACTCTCTTTCTCCCACTTGCTCCAAGATGTAGCACCATGTGGTAATTACGTTTCCTCTGAGAATGTTAGTTTCCTCGGTCCACTGACTATAGACACTCCCTTGTACTTGGCTTCCGAAACCTCCACCTATGAAGTATGTCAAGCTTTTTTTTTTGGTCGTTCCAACCAAGGCGGACTTGAGCTTGTCCATTTTTAATCATTCTTATCCTTACTTACCATAGCTTAGTTCTGAACCAAAAAATAAAGAGGCATTAAAAAATTTGTTTCATTATAGTCACCATAAAAAAGAATAAACAGTTTGTAGTAGAAAGCCAAACTTTTGTATGTTTCTTTGTTTATCATACACTGTTGTGCAAATTAATTGAAACAAAACAAAACAAATAATTCCATTATTATATACTTTTCTTTGTATTTTTCCAATGAAACATGACCCAGTGCACATGATAGTACTTCGTATGTCCTTTCTATAAAGTCGTTCCTTGCAGATTGACCACAGATTCTTAATTGGATTTAAAACATGAGAGTTTCCGGGTCAGGCTATAGTACTTTGATTTGCTCACTGGTAAGGCTTGCCACTGTCTTTGTGCAGTGTTAGAATTTTCATATGCTTCCTTGGAATAACATCCATTGCAGACAATAGCTATAGGACAACTAATCAACAGTCGAGACAATAGTGTCTGGGCGTGATAAAAATCTCATGCAATTAAGGCTAATGCAATGTATTTCAAGGCCAAACAAATTTCATTATCTTTTCTTCTTTTTATGTGCCATGTCCTTTCATGATGTAGGCAATCATAGCTCTCCACCTCCCTCTATCCCTTGCGGATCTTAACAAGTTCCTTCCCTCTGCCATCTTCTCCAAACCACGTTCTGTCATTCACTTGCTTAAGCTCACTAGGTATGTGATCTGTTGTCTCTCTTTCCCTGTATTTGACCTGTGAGTATCAGATTCTCCAGGCCCTCTTTCTTCATTATGTGTCCAAGAAACTTCAGCTGCCTCTTCCTGATGTTAAGTATAAGCCTCCTCCTTGTTCGTAAACTCTCTAAGACCTCATCACTGCTCACACTCTCAGTCCATGATATCTTTAGCATCCTTCTGTAGAACCACATCTTCATCGCCTCAATTCTCTTCTTCATCTTTGAGGAAATTGTCCAACATTTTCCGCTGTAAAGGAGGATAGATGTTACATAACAGCTCAGTATTCTTTTCTTTGTTACCAAAGAAATCCTCCTGTCTTGCAATACTCAGCCCAGCTTTTGGAATGCATTCTTGGTCATCCCAATACATCTACAGAATTCAGTGTCGCACTTACTGGTCTCTGTCAAAAAGCTTCCCAGATATTTAAACTTCCGTGTCTGCTTGATTCTAGTGTTCTCGACCTGCAAATCACATTGTGAATCATCCTTTTACTGATGACCATACATGCATACACCCTGAAAACAGATTAATATTACTGCACACTACTGCAAATGACCTGATCTGAGGAAAAATAGAAATCGATTACACCCTGTCACTCCAGTGGGTCTAAAACTGACCAAATAGTGAAAGAAAAGAAACTAAAGCAGTTGTTTCAATTAACTTGCACAAGGGTGTATGTGAAAACACACACCTCAAATACACTTAAATTTCATAAAACCTTTATTTCAATTGATGTTAATCATTTATTATTTTCTCTGTTTCTAACCCAATACAATTCCTTTCATTCATAATGTTCTCAGGGTTACGTGAATAGATGAGTAAACATTAAAATTAATAATGTCTCTTTGTTTTTAATTAAATATTGATTCTTCTTATGTCTAAAGATTGTTTAATGGACAAAAATATTCATTCTTTTCATTTTTATGCAGGATTGGCATATGATTGGATCTCAAGAAACCTTTATTGGACAGATTCAGGACTGAAATCAATTATGGTGTCTCGTTACAATGGGGAAAATGTTATTCACCTTCGGCGTATGACCAACAGCTCTCTCAAAGCGATCGCTGTTCATCCAATAAGAAGGTATAACAATTTCAGATCGCTTTGTCTTTTACAAAGTTCTCTTGAAGAAAATGAAGAAATGTGGTCTGAGATTCTGAGATGAAGGGCGGTCATAATTTCATGAGTTTCAACACTAATATCCTTAAATGCTGCCAGATATGGAAAGCTCGGGATAAAAGAATATATTATATATATATAACATATATAAAGAAAAAAGTTATGAAAATTGAGAAATTGCATAAAAAAAGTACATCAAAGGAGGACCGTGTTTGAGTATTCAATAAATATAATTTTAAATATATATATATATATATATATATATATATATATATATATATATATTTAAAATTATTATATTTAGAGCTATATATATAAATATATATATATATATATTTAAAATTATTAGCTCTGAATTTACATTGAGCTCTCAGGATTTGCATCCTCCTTGTTGGGACTACCCATATGGATTACCAAGTTTTTCATAACTTAAATATATATATATATATATATATATATATAATAGGGTGTTCAGTGGTAATGTTTAAACTTTGTTCCCACAAAATAATGGCATACACTTTTAACTCCCTTGGAATTGTTTATTTACAAGATTATAAAAATATGTGTATCAAGTACAAGGCAATGTTTCTTTTTACCTTTTATAAAGAAACAAATTTGAAGAGAAATTTTTGAATAAAAAATTTTTTAAAAATTATCAAAATATGTTAACCAACTACAATGCAATATTTATTACTCATCATTTTATAAATAACTATGAAAACATGTTTTTTTATTTAATCCAATAAATAAATAGTGTTTAACATCTTTGTTGTCAGTTCTCAAACGGGTGTACAGTAATTGCAGTGTCAAGGGAATAACCTTTTTTTTGACCTTCCATTTTTTTTGTGGGCATGAAGGTTAAACATTGTCAAAAGAAATATAAGAAAATAATTTAATTTTAGGTTCTATATTTTTTTCATGTCCATTTTCTTTAGCAAATATTTATAAAGATTATGCCATCATTCACCAATTGAGCACAATGAGAAAAGTGAATATTTAATGGCTGCTGCTGCTTTAATGCATCCCTCTTTGTAAGAACTGAGTGCTGTGTCAGCTGGTATGATGATTATATAGCATGTATATAATGTGTTAAAAGTCCTTTTTCTGCCACATGCTGATGTCAAATCGGTTGAGTTTTGATCCTGGGTGGAAGCAATTGGATGTCTAGCTACACTGATGAGCTGTGATACAGTGAAACATGCTGTCTGCGGATGAGTAAAGATAAATTCAAACAATATCATTAATTTCTTGGAAGTAAGAGTTCTGTCAGAACCAACATTCCTAAACCAACTGATGATTGGCAAAATCTTTTTAAAAAGTTCACTATACTATCTGATAACATGAACATGAATATCATGTTCTTTGTTCTGGTGTCTAACAAACCCGCACTGTTCTTGTCCTATCTCTCACCAGATTCTTCTGTGCACTCTATTCATCAGAATACGCATGATGAGTTTTGTTATGTAGCTCATTAGGCTGATTGGCTGATTGTTCAGTGGAGTTCCCATTTGTTTGCACCTGGTTTCTTAGGCAGTGCTATGAAAATAGATCTGCTTAGATCCAATTGTCTTGTAATACTCTGCCTAGCTTTTGGAATGCATCTTTGGCCATCCCAATACATCTTTGGATCTCAGCATCACACTTACCATCCTCAGTCAGAACACTTCTCAGATATTTAAATTTTTGCACCTGCTTGATTTTGTTTTAGTGTCCCCAACCTGTAAATTGCATTTCAGGTTCATCAGCAAAAAGATTTTTGCTGATGACCATGCATTCTGTCTTCCTGTAGTTTATGCTTAGTCCCTTCTTCTCGCTCTCCTTTGCTGCCTTCTGTAGGAGGTTTGTAATTTCCTTTCTGTGTCTGCTATCAACACTGTATCATCTGCATATCTTATGTTGTTAAGATTGTGGCCACTGTTGAGATGTTGTGAGTTTCCCGCGTGTCGGTGTATGAATCAAGACAAACACAGTTGTAGAGGAAAATACTAATATATTTGTAAAAGCAATTAACAATAGAGTGATTAGTAGAACAAAGGTTGGTTACTATGAAACAATATCCAAAGTCTATAGTCCAACGGTATGTAACGGGTAAGCTTATCTGGACTGCCGTCTCTGACGCTCTGTCACTCGCTCCCTCGTCCTCTCTCTAGAGCTGACTTATATAAGAGGGACCAGTCCATTTCTAGTTAGAAGGTGGGTGCACCCCAACAGCCACTAATGATGAATCCTGGTAGGATTTCCAATTCTCTCAGAACTGCCTCGATGTATAAGTTGAATAAGTCCTGTGAGAAGACACATCTTTGACTTATACTTCTTTCTATTTTTGTATATCTGCTGAACTCATTCTCTATTCGCATGCAGGCCATTTGCTGCAAGTTCTTGATTATTCTATCTTTCCCAAATATGTCAAGGTTGCTGAGCAGTTCCAACAGATTTTTGTTGCATACTTTGTCGAATGCCTTTGCGTAGTCTATAAAACATAGGTGCACATCTTTCAGTCATGGTCATTTACTGTTGCCATAGCAAGATATGGCAGCTTCTTTTATGTGTTGTGTCCCTTCACAGTGTAGGCAAATATGTCTCTCCATTTCCTCATCTTGTAGTTCTCCATAAGTTTTGTCTTTTTGCTACTTTTTGTTCGGTGGAGTTCCTATACGTTTGCGTCTGGATTCTTAAAGCAGTGCTATGAAAATAGATCTGCTGAGATCTGGTATATCCCCACTGTTGTAGATTTATTATTTCTGTAATCTTGTCTATGCCAAAATCATCTAAGGCTGCCATCATCTCTATTAGAATTTCGTCTGGCCCTGCCACTTTGTTTCTGTTCAATTATGCCAGTGCAGCTTCTACTTTGGTTTTTAGTATTTCAGGGTCATCGGTAGATCTATGTATTGCTGGTTGTTCTCTTTCATCCTGGAAGTGTTCTCCAATGTATTTTTTCCATCACTGAAGAATTTTTTCTTTCTCTAATATGAGTTTCCCTCTTTTGATTTTAATTAGCCCATTGATGAGCATGTTTTTTGTCCTGTTAGTTTACTTATTTGTTTATGCGTATCTTCTTTGTTGGCGGTACTCAATCTCTATTTCTGCACATTTTTTGTTTAGCCATTCCTCTTTAGCCTGCCTGCATTTGGTCCTTATTTCATTGTGTAGTTTTCTGTATTCCGTTCTGTATCTTGGCAAAGTTTTCTGTCTCCTTTGCATCATATCGAGAATCCTATCTGTGATCCATTCATTTTTTTTTTTACTTTGCGTTTTTGGTAACTAGTGTGACCCCAATGTAATTCCTCAATAAAGGCCATGAAAAGAAAGGGAAAAAATGAATTGAGAAGTCGCCGTTTTCAAGGTTTTAAAAGAGGGTTGATCATCCTGGCAAATCATTGAAATCCCCTCCCCACCAAGTGACTTCAGCTCTGCTTGGACTCTTCACTCTCCCTATCCCATCCCAATCCATGGCATTTGGTTTCTGAAATTGAAACGTATTTAAAAAGTCTGCTGAAACTTTCACTAAATGGCCACTGATTTGAGTTTAGCAAAACTAATGTGAAATTGTTATTTTAAGTAATAAGAAATCTTTGTTCCATGATGTTGTTTGTAAATGTCATTTTATTTTATTTTTTTTCAGTACGGTTAGCTTAATGTCAGTTGCATATATTTTTTAATACTGGCAATCAAACTTATACTAAATTAAAACTTAATCATTTTAAAACATAATCATATACCAAACTTCTGACTCCTTACTAATTCTGACCCTTACTAAACCTTTTACTCACAAATATATCGTGGTCTTTTTTGGGTGTATTCATATCTGCTTGTGGGGGGCACACACACACACATACACGCATATATATATTGTAATTTCTCTTGTATAATACGCATTTTTTTAAAAAATAATAAATAAAATTAAGGGTACATATTATATACAGCTACAAAAAAAATCTTAAAAAATTGCCGTTTCATAGGTCGATTTCAGTTGTGAAATGATGACTGACTACAAACATGTGACAATTTAACACTAACATTCGGCCATTGCGACCCCATAAGGATGTCAAATACAATCATATGTACCTAACAATACTTACAAATGTAAAATAAAATAAGAATTATCATAACACTAAATTAGAATAATATTATTTTATGTTTTAAAACCATTTTTTTCTAAGAGTAGGAGAGGCATAATTTTGAAGAGGGTTTGATTAGCAAACAAGGAGTGCGTATTATGCGTGAATAGAAGCATTTTCCCCACACATTCAGCACAATTTTAGGGATGTGTATTATGGATGAAGGCATATCATACATGGGAAATTATAGTATATATATATATATATATATATATATATATATATATATATATATATAGATAGATAGATAGATAGATATATAGATTATATATATATATATATATATATATATATATATATTATTATATATATATATATATATATATATATATATTATATATATATATAGATTATATTTTATTATTATGATTATTATTGTATATATATATATATATAGGGTAAGTATTCCACTGTCGGAATGTCGGGGATGAAACCGGCTATGCCACTCCATGTTCTTGCAAGTGAGGTGGCTTGTTAGCAAGCCAGTAGGATGAAAAACAAGACCTAACAAAGGGTGGAAGAACTCTTGATCAGTCAACTGTCAGTTAACTAGAGGTGTTGTCTCTATAAACCACCTTGAGAAGGCAACGAGAAACCACTCCACTATTAATCCCAAGACACATCATGGTAAATAACTCAGGGCTACGTATATCAAATTTTTAAAACATTTATAAAAGTTAATTGGGGAAGCTTGGCATGTAATCTGGTCTCTCTATGGAAGCCAAAACAAAATATGCTCTTACCATGTGATTTCTCTCGAGTCTTTTGAGCAGGAGTATAGTTTTATTCCTTGTTTCCTGTTTAAGATTGGGTTTCTGAAATGTAATTCCCAAATTAAATCTTGAATTCTTCAATTCTAGTGTTCCCTCCAAAGCCTCAAGAACTCCACTTCTTAACCTTTCTTATGCTCATACAACATCACACTTTAACTGTTTATCTTGAATGTTAGATGAACATTATTAAGAACAACGTATTGTACCAGTGGTTAATAAACCAACTCATTAGTTGAGAATCAGCAGTCTTCATTTTTCTCTTCATTAACAACACAGTTTTCTGTCGTTTCTGTCTATCTTTCTCATTTTCTAACACCTGGTGTGTTGCACCTATGATAAATGTCAATAAGCGATCAACTTCTTCTGCCAAAAATTGAGCATTGTGTCAGGTGGAAATTAAGATGACCAGTGCTGTACAAAGTATTTACAACGCACAGGTGATTTTCTTTTTATTTATGCCTCATCTGTCTTTATATTGTCAATAATGACCCATCAAAGTGACAGAACTTGAAATTATTTACTCCATGACATTAAATCTGACGTGATAGTGTCAGAATAAAACAAACCTTTCACATTCAAATCGATGAATTGTTCAAATTAGGAAGAGAACAAGATTTACAAACATAGTAGCACAAATGTGAATAAAATGTGATTTATTTTTATTTAGGTTTTTATTCTGGACTGATATTGGTCGAACGACGGCTTGCATTCAACGGGTCAACCTGGATGGAAAAACTGGTCACAGATTCATTGTGATGCATCCTAATGTTTTGAAACCAGTCAGCTTGGCCATTGATTTTCAGACGAACAGGTGAGACGAAACAAGATGACACAAAACATAGCAATTATATCCAGAATGTCAATACATTGAAAATTATTTTATTATAGAAATGCACTGAAAATCAGGAAAAAAGTATTGCCAATGGTCAGGAATTAATGAAAGAGTTACTGACAAAATAAGACTATTATAGTGTATAAGTGTAAAATGCATTATAAATGATTTTACCACGGAATATTTTGTAAATGATTTTAGTAGAGAAATACATTGAAAATAATAAACACTCTGATCATCAGTGGTCATAAATTAAAGCAAGTCTTACTCAGAGAATAGGGCTATATATATATATATATATATATATATATATATATATAAATGAACATAAAGAGCCAGGTAAACCTACCTAGATTTGACGATCCATGGTGAAACCTAGGTAGGTTTGGCTTTAGGTTCATAGTTAGACGATCCTTAGTCTGTTGAGCACTTTACTTAGCTACTTTTTTGCTTTACTCATTTTGGAGGTTTTTTTTTTGGACTCTGAGCTGGGATTCTGGACGATTGTTTTCGCCTGAATTTCATGTTCTTAGTTCTTTTTTTTTTTATCCCTTATTTTTCCTTGGGTATTGGTTTGTTCATTTACAAGCCAAAACACCCAAGGTTTTTCCAAACGAGAATAACTATTGATATATTTATATATATATATATATATATATATATATATATATATATATATATTTAATGTATGAGGGTCAAGCAGGTCAGTTCCTAGGAACCGACAGCCCAGACACCAGCACATAAGATTTGATTATAGTGGTGTAGGCTTTGTGCAGAACCAACGACACTTTTTGAAGGGCCAAATACATAGACCTGGTGCCCTATGTGCCACAAGGTCCCCAAATGACCCTCCACAGGTTTTCAATTCAGAGTTGTTCTTTTCCTAAACCAGCTGCCATCCAAGGCTATAGAACCCAATCTGTCCTGCTATTTACCCATAGCTGAGGGAAAAGAAGAGGATTAATACGTTTCCCCAAGGGTATTAGCACGTAAGTGAATGTAATGGATTTGACTGGAATTCGAACTTGGCTTTCCGATTCCTCAATCCAAGCTGCTATCCACTACTCCATATATATATATATATATATATATATATATATATATATATATATATATATATATATATATATATATATATATATATATATATATATATATATATATATATATATATATATATATATAATCTTAAGGTATGCTATATTTATGGGATAAAGTGCTCAATATCAGGGATAGAGCATATGTAAATATAAAAGTGAACAATGAAGTCAACACCCAGAGGCCACAGTCTGTTTCATGCTCAATGCAATCATCAGGCCATGTGTGTTGTGTTTTGGCTTGACTTTTATTTACATAGTTATTATATTAGTTTATAAACTAAGTAAATAATAAACATATTAACAAACCACGCCTACCAATATAACCATTAGAATAATACAATAGACTATATATATAATGAGCAAAAACACAATGCACGAAAACTGATGATTGCATTTAGCATGAAACAGATTGTTGCCTCTTCAGTATCCACTTTTATATATATATATATATATATATATATATATATATATATCGAAAAAAAAAATCGAGAAAAAAAAATTGATTCTCCTGTTGGGTTCGACGTATGAGGGTCAAGCAGATCAGCTTCCAGGCAACTGACAACCCGACAACGGCACATGAGATTCGATTATAGTGGTGAAGGTTTCGTGCAGGACCATCCACACTTTTTGATATATATATATATCTTCAGGCCATAGATTACATTTAAGTATGAAAAGACTCACTGCTGGGTATTGACCTCAATATCCACTTTCATATATTTATATATATATATGGTGTGACAATATATATATATATGTATATATATATGACAATATATATATATATATATATATATATATATATATATATATATGATAAAAATATAGTTTTAAGGTATGCTATATTTATGGGTTAAAGTATCTAATATTGGGGATAAAGCATATGTAAATATAAAAGTGGACATAAAGCATTTTTTTAACACAGATGTGGGTGTTTTTATGTGCGGTTGACACATTTATTGACAGCCTGATGTTTGGGAAATTATCTGAGGAGGAGAAAATAATACTAAAATTTAATCACAAAAAGAACTTAAATTTCTCATACATATTTAAGGTCTTTTGTTGGTGCCAGTAAAACAAAAGTTTTAACCAAAATATGGAAGGTTCTAAAAAGGATAATAAAAAATTTACATAAAAAAGTTCATTGGACTTTCCTTTTAACAATGATTTTGATGATGAAAATTTTTTTTTATTAAGTTTTTGCAATGTTTTCATCATGTATGCTCATTTTTTTCAGCTAATCTTTAGAGGTCCATATACCCTTGTGCAAATTGATTGAAACAAAATGAATAATTCTGTTATTTACTTTTTTTTCATATTTTTCCAATGAGACATGACCCAGTGCACATGTTAGTATTTTGTGTGTCCATTCCATGAAGACATTCCTTGCAGATTGACCACAGATTCTCGATTGGATTTAAATCAGGAGAGTTTCCAGGCCAGTCTATAATATTTTGATTTGCTCACTAGTAAGGCTTGCCTGTATGTTCGTGCAGTGTTACAATTTTTGTATGCTTACTTGGAGTAATGTCCATCACAGACAATGGGAGCAGGACAACTAATCGACAGTTGAGACAGTAGTGTCTAGGCATTATAAAAAATCTTATGCAATCATGGCTGACTGAAAAATTTTTCAAGACCAAACAATTTTCATGAGACACCCTGAAAATAGATTCATATTACTGCACACCACTGCAAATGACCTAATCTGAGGAAAAAATAGAAATCAATTATACCCTGTAACTCCAGTGAGTCTAAAACCAAATGGTGAAAGAAAGGAAATTAAAGCAGTTGTTCTCATTAATTTGCACAAATGTATATATATAAGACAGGCATTTCTGAGTTGGAAGTGCATCAGATAGACTTGTGACTGTCAATTTTACTACATTTTGGATCTTTAGTGGGTGGTGGGGGTTATCTTATGACAACTTCCATTCTTGACATATATCTATTATAGGTTTACTGTAAGGATTGAAAGAAAATGCACATAATTTTTTTTATATAACACAATATACATATATAGAAGGATAAAGTGAAAGTTGAAAGTTCAAGAGTCCTGGTGCATATGATGTAGAGAGTCTAGGAGAATATAGATAAATATATATATGTATTTATATATATATATATATATATATATATATATTTAAATTTAGCAGTTTCTATGTTAACACTTGACTGTGTGGACATCTCAGTTGCCAGTGGGTGACAGAAGGAGGTAGTATTGAATATATCTATGCAAGACTGTGTGGGTCATGCATGTATATTTTGGCTTTGAGTATGTTACAATAACTGCAGTACTGGAGAATTGATAAAATTAATTCAGCGATTGTAATTCATTTGATTTTCAATCTTGTTATATATATATATATATATAGAGTTCCTCTTCAAAACTACCACTTGGCTTCTGATTGATCCATTATTAGTGACCTTATATCCTGGTTGTGAACAGATCTTGTTTCTGATTTGCTTGCTTGACTATGATGTTCATATACTGATTGGGATGGTTTCTGATTAGTTGGCTGAAATATTAACTTCATTGCCTAGTGATTCTGAATATGCATCTATTTTTAGAGATGGTTAAATTTTGGTTTGCTTGTTATCATTTGTTTACTTTTATTTATTTTTCTATTATTACAGATTTGCTGTTACTTGGATTTGCAACTGTTTTTTATAGTTTATAAATAATCAATTATTTGCAGTATATTTCTGTAGTTAAACTATTTGCCATGCATTTACTTATCAATATAGTTTGCCAAGCATTTCTATAGTAAGATCATTTCCAATGAATTTTTAGATAAATCTTCAGTGTTTGCTTTGTATATAGAATTATTATCATAATGAATGTAACTTAAAAGAATTGTTAATAAATCCTACTCCTGAAGTCACATGTTGCAGAAACATCAAGCAATCATAATAAAAGCAAATCAATGAAAATGATGTGGGTGCGAGGAAAGAGAGGATACTTCTAGTTCCATTTCCTCATTATAGGCATTAGTATATCTGTGATATACTAACACCTTAATATGTTATGGATAGAAGGACCAGAATAGCTGAAAGAAAGTAATGACAAGCATGCATTGTTCTGAAAAAGCTTTTTTTTTATATTGCAATGTCATGCACAAAATTATATACAAATAAATATATACCTGTCACTTTGTATCTGATATGTCCCAAAAAGGGATATATTTGTTCGAAGTAGCAAAGTGGTTGTTGACTACTGTAAATGGGTAGGACAATCTAGCAGGTAACCATAATGGACTGGTCCTCATCATAGTGACAGGCAATAGGCGAAGACTATAGGTGTTGTCAATAGGCGTCCTCCATGTACCTCCACATCAGTCTGTATTTATGGCTGACACCAGCCAATCATATTACTGTGAGGGGGAACCCAGGTGTGTGCATATACATTACCTCAGTATCCCAACACAAAGAAATCATAACATAGGTGAAAAGCAAGAGATTCTTACTTGTAGTATTTCCTGAAGAGGAATTGGCCAGGCTGGTGCTAATCTCTGTATTCTTGGTAGGAATATATATTTGTCTCTGTTTGCCCTATCGCTGTGGACTTGTGATAATGCCTATTGTCCTAGCGATCTAGATTGGGCTTCATTGCCCCATAAACTAACATCCCACATTTCACCTGTTTTCTTTTGTTCAGATTAATATGGTTGGATCAGATGAAAGAATCTATATTCACAAGTAATTTAAATGGCAGGGATCGGAAGCTCCTTCATCAACACAAGTTCTATGGGTCAAACTTACAAGCCATTGCAGTTTTGAAGGTAATTCACAGATTTCATTATATTTATTTATACACACACATCAGCCAAGACCTGCCTTGCTATATCCAGAGAATTGAATCTATATAGTCCTTTGTTAAGAGGCACCTTTCACTCCAAAACCTTCTTCCCAAGTTTGATTTTGTCAGGTAGGTGACATCTTGATGTTATCAATCTGGAGGAGGTGATCCCAGAATCTAACACCTTTGGAAATTGACTGAAAACCATACCACACCTTGACCCAAGCATTGTCAGTGAAATTGGGTAGCTGGAGCTGGTTGTAAGTTGTCAATGGTTAGAACAAAGTCATGAGCCATTATGACCAAGGGTTTGAGTATATTGGCATTATCCAAACTGCTGATCATGCCAGATTATATGCTCTCTCATAGAAACTATAGATAAGGTCCACTGAGCATAGTTGTAATATAAATCACAGATGGGCTATGGAGGTGTTGAACAAACACTAATGTACCTGAGAAGGTGTCTGTGACAGGGATTGGCTAGCTTCCCAAATAGATGAGTGTGCCAGGAAAACAAGAGTAGCCAGCCATTATATAAACACACACATATATATTATATATGAAGCTCTTCATAGCTGAGTAGTCAAAAGCACATTGGATCAAATGATGGTTTCTTTTCCAAAGGAGTCAGGGATGCAGATTTGATTCTCTTTAATAACTTTTCTCAAATGTTCAAGCTGGTAGATAAAATACTGCTTAAAATAGAAGTGACATTTACTCAAATATGTTTATCCATTAAAGATAACTTTTAAAGTAAAAAACATACACATTCAAACAGACTCTCTCTCTCTCTCTCCCTCTCTCTCTCTCTCTCTCACACACACACACACACATATATATTCAAACATATATTGTTAAATATAACAGACAACGAATGTCTGTTATGTTTGATCATGAGCCGTTCTAATCTTCGTATACTGGCTTCAGTTTCAAGAGAAAATAAAGACAAAAACTTTCCAACATTTGGATATTTTTTTATTATGCTATTCCTCAATCTAAACTTTAAGCTCACATGAGCCATCGTCAAAGTGGTTGTATGGATATTACAACAAAGATGTTCACCATCAAAGAACATATATCAAACATAATAGACATTTGTTGTCTGTTATATTTAACAATATATGTTTGAATAATGATATATATATATATATATATATATATATATATATATATATATATATATATATATAATGGACTCTCCCATCGGTTTCATAGTAAGGATTGTGGGATGAGATCACTGTTAGATTGGCTGACCTTTTAAATCTTGCTCTCACTTCTTGAAGATGATTCAGTCAAGCTGATTGAAAACTGCCTTGTCCACTAAAACATGTTGATCTTCATTCTACCCACTCCAAGGCTAAGCACTCAAGGGTGTTATGTGGTATATTGACAACTGACAAGTTGCTTTTCAGCTTGTCTTTGTATCTTAGCCATGGGTGTCCTACATTCCTGTTGCCCTGATCAAACTGGATGTACATTAGGATCTTGGGTATCCTGTCAACAGACATTCTCAAGACATGACCAGTCCACTGTAACTGAGGCTGTATGAGAAAAGTCTTGATTCCTCCAATATTACACCTGTTAAATAGGTCTAAGTTAGATGTCCTATCTTGAAGGTTAACTCCACAGATGGCACACAGACAGCTTTTATGGAAAACATCCAGCTGGAGTATATGGTACCTGTATGTAGTCCATGACTCTGAGCTGTACAAATGATAGCAAGAACAACAGCTCTGTAAACCCGAACTTTTGTATCCAGTCGAATTCCAAAAGTGATGGCGAAGTTTGCTGAAATCACTGATAGCCTTAGCAATCCGATGCATGATTTCATCATCTAAAGTTCCACTGTAGTTGACTTTGTTACTAAGATTGGTGAAAGACTTTATATAGTTCAGCTGCTCATTTTCAAGCATAACCATCTCATCTACTAGGGTGGCTAGTCAATCCCAGTTGCAGATGCTTGCTCAGGCACAGTTGTCTTTGTTCAATACTCATATGATACAAGCTCTACTAATTAAGCTATAACTAAACACAATTTTATGCCATAAACGATAAATAGTTTGTATATAGTTTATTACTTTCAGGTGAAATGTATGTTTTGTTATATGTGTTGGTATAAACCTATTTCTTTATGGTATCACATTATGTTGATGGTTTCAGTATTTTCAAATAGTTTTCTCATGTTGGCTTCCCTTGTAGTATTTATGTCTTACAGGTGCTAAGTGAGTATATTCAGTTAAAATGTGTTTCACCATGGGGTCTGGAATTGGAACTTGGAGAGACAAATTCCAATTCCGAGTTGTTATCCATTACACCAAACTTACAGCACATAGTATCCCACAAGCGGTCACCTATCTAGATACTGACCAGGCTCAACATTGTTTAACTTCCCAGATTATAATCTGCTACATTAGTCTTAGAGCAGCATAGAGAAGGCAATTCTTCATTCCATTTCGTCGATTGGCAATACGAAATCACAAAGGGTAGACTGTTCTAGTTCCACGTGCCATGTTTAATGGATGTCAGTTATCAGTTATCTCCTCTTAATACCCCTCTGAAAGTTCTCCACTGCCAATGGACAAAATAAAATGTTCAGTTTGGAATTCCAATCACCTGAAGAAAGCCGGAGCATATAATGGCTGAAACACTGTGAATATGACAGTGAAGATGAGGTTAACAGTCCAAATAATGTAAATAATGCACGTAATCATAGTACCTCATCTTAGAGATATAGACAGATAATAATGGTATAATCAAGATGTTTACTTTGCATATTACTTTAAACAATTATGAATGAGCTACCCATCAATACTGGAAAGCACTATAACAATTAATCGACTTCAAAACCTATTTCCCTGAAAAATTGTTTTAAAAGAAAGATTTTATAATTTTCAACTGACAGTAATATTAACTAATCAGTCATTGTTGAATGTTTCCTTATATGGAAACGGCTATTCTCACCATTATCATTGAAAAGAATTGTGGCAAGTGACTCATGAAGGCATTTATATTTGAGTCTTTTTTTTTAATATGACAGTTCATTCAATACAAATTTCAAGAGCCACTCAAGGTAGAGGGCTATTGTTGAAATGATAATGATAAATGAGGTGTGTGATATGAATGTAAGAGGAAGTAGCAGGAAGTGAATGTTATGAGGATAAGAAGGATAGATAATGATTGACTCTTGACTCATTGTAGTGTTCAGGGAAGCATCTATGTAGGAGTCTGTTCCAGTCACAGTTCCTTGGAAGAAGCTGTTTGAATGAAACTTCCTCCTTACATTTGGAATAATAATAATAATAAATCTTTAAAAAGCTATCAAAATACAAAGACCTTGAAATGGAAATATCAAAAATGTGGCACATGGGAACATCAACAATCCTTGTTGTAGTTGAAGCCCTAGGATTGATTCAAAAATATTCCAGTAGACTCATTTAAAGGATTCCTGATAGCCCAAGCCTTAAAGAAATACAAAACATTGTTCTCACTAGTACAGCCCACACCTTATGAAGGGCTTTGTCTATGTAAAATATGTGTGTGTGTGTGTGTGTGTGTATGTGTGTGTGTGTTTTAAATTGGTCAGTGGAAAATACCATCATGATGTCATTTCTGACCTTAGGTCTCTGGGCAGGACCTGGAAAGAAATGTGTACACACCAGAAATCAAAGGAAATAAAATGATAATAATAATAATAATAATAATAATAATAATAATAATAATCATAATAATATAACTGAGAAAATATCTGAAAGTTATGAGAATTCCACATGTTTTTTCAGGTTAGCAGAACTTTTGCCAAAAAGTGCTCAATATATTAACTATAATATGCAATAAATGATGAGTGTTCTTATGCAAAGCACTTAAGTCAGTTGATCAGATGTCACTTGAACTTTTCATAATTAATTGAATATCTGTCAATATTTCTTAGATGAGGTATTAAGATTACTTACATTATTTACATTATTTGAACTGTTATCCTTATCTTCACTGCCATATTCACAACGTTTCGGCCATTGTATGCCCCAGCCTTCTTCAGGTGATTAGAATTTCGAACTGAACCCTTTATTTCATCCACCGGGGTACATTGTTCTAGTTCCTGCAGTAGCCAAGTATTGAAATCACAACTCTTTGAGTCAATCACTGGATACAACCAATACTTTTATCACACATGTGGCCTTGAGGATAAAAGTGTTGGTTGGATCCATTTGTGTGAATGGATGGTAGAATGTGGTTGAAGGTTTCAGCAAAGTGAGAAAAACTGCTAAGAGCCACACATGTAGGAAGTTGTGGAGAGCCATGATTGTCTATGTCCTGAAGGGACACCACACATAGAAGAAGAAGAGTATTAGTGTAGCCAAGCCTAACTTCTTGTATTTTTAGGATTTTTATTTAATTTTCTTTTCAAAGGAAACTTTTCTTAGAAGTTGCAATAAAATCAACGGATGTTATCATGAAGAAAAATTAAAATTCATTTTTGGCATTTATATTTTTTTTGTGTTTGCAAGTGTTGGGGCCACCACCTTCTCATCAGAATGGACTGATCTCTCTACTACTAATAGGCAGTTCTAGAGAGTTCTAGGGAGATCAGGTGACCATCACACTTCCGTCTCTCTACCGGAAGATACAGTTGGACTTTATACTCTTTCTGATTGTTACTGACTAACCTGCGTTCGTTTGACTACTAATCTCTCTGTTGTAAATACCTCTTTAGATATACCAGTATTTTTCCCTACATATGTGTTTGTCCTTATTTCAATACACGCACGGGGAAACACTCAACATCTCAACAGCAAGGAAGAGACGAATGAATTTACTTGAACACATAATGAAGAAAGAAGGATTGGAAAACTTAATACCCACAGGACATATTGAGGGCAAGAGAGAGAGAGGGAGAGAGAGAGAGAGAGAGAGGAAGCTGAGTTCCAATTCCAACTGGGTTCGTTATATTCACTTAATGAAAAAATACCCTTGAGAAAGGCATGAATCCACCTCTCCTTTCCTACTAGTTATAGGTTTATTAGTAGGACTTGTATCAGTAAATAATTATCATCACCAAATAATTCTTACATTATAAAAATATTTTCTGCCTTTAAATAACCTGCAAAAGGTTGATAAGCTGTAAAAAATATCAATCAATCAATAAAAAACACTTTTATTGATGTGAAGTGGCTCCTGGGGAACTTCTTGCTATGTTCTTTAACATTGACTGGTCAGAAAATATCAAACTGAAATTTTTAATGTTTACAAATCAAAGGAAATAATTAATCCGTGGCTGAAACACTGTGAATATGACAATGAAGATGAGGTTAACAGTCTGAATAATGTAAATAATGCACATAATAGACCAAAGCTGGATGTGACATAATGTCGTTTTAACATGGGGAGTGCCATACACAAACATATACATATAGGCCGAGAACAAAAATTGTGTTTTTGAGCAGATCCTGCAACCACTGTCCAGTATGAAACCAACCCCCATCACTCTTACTGCAATGAGGGAGGTGCTGCTGCAGGGTTGGAATCCTCAGGGCTCAGCATCTCCCATCTAAAATGAGGAGAAATATAACTCTACTTACAGTACATGAAAAATAACCATGCCTCAGTAAACCCACATTGGCTAATGGTTAACCCCTGTGTCAGGTTAAAGGTTAACTCCTGTGGCAGTACAATTCCAAAAATATTAAGAAAATCCCCTTGTTTTATAACTGGCATTGCAGAAGTTTAATCAATATATTCTGATAAAATTTTCTTTTTTAATTTCAGAATTACATTGTCTATTCTGACTGGCATTATGGTTCGACAGGTATCTATGCCATCAATAAATATGATGGAACAATGATTGGAAATATGAAAGAAATAGATCCGACATTGGCTATAGCTTTTTTACATGCCAAAAGCCAGCCTCAAGGTTCAAGTAAGTATTTGTTTTAAGAAATATTTCTAATGATAACAACAGAATTACTGGCATGAATCTTGTATTGGGTTTTTAGAGTAAGCGGAAGTGAACAAAGACGTAAATGGTAAAACTAAACACACCACACAAGGCCTCTGCACAGTCCTCTGGAGGTTTCCATCATACTTCAAATTTTCATTTTGATAAAAATAAATAGCTGATAAAATCAGCTCCCACCAGTAAATAAACACCAGCCTCTGGAGCCTACATGAGCTCATAAAAATAAACATTCATTAAACTTAGCAGAAGTACTGACAGCAGTAAAGACAGACGAGTCACCCCTGTCATTCTGTCTTTCAAACTAAAGCAACAGCGGACTCCATTTGATATTGTCTGCCAGTTCCATTTTTTCTCTTCCTCAATGAAAGACTATTCATTTTCATTTCCTTACAGTCAAAGAGAAGAACTATTTATAGGGTCTGAGTACCAAACAAGGGATGCGTATTATGCATGAGTAGGTGCATTTTCCCCACACTTTCAGCACAATTTTAGGGTTGCATATTATGAAGGTGTATTATGCATAGGGAATTACGGTATTTATTTATTAGATTGATTGAAATTTTTTTAAAAATTGTCGTAAAATCAAAATAAGAATTATCATAAAACTAAAATAGAATAATATTATTCTATATTCAAAATCATTTTTTTAAAATAAGAGTACGAAACACTGGCTGTAATTGAATCGGAGAGGTACAATTTATAAAGTTTGATTACAAAACAAGGGGTGTATATTATGAGTAGAAGCATTTTCCCACACTTTCTGCACAATTTTAGGGGTGCATATTATGGATGAAGGTGTATTATACATAGGAAATTTTGGTAATTATAGTTAAAATTTGTGTATCTGACATTTAAATAAATATCATCATTTTATCTGAACATGTAACAATCTTTACTTTCATTTTTTTATTCAACAAATGATGAGCCATTGAATCTTTCCCCAACAGGTTCATTAATTTATTGTGATGTTGTGTGTTAAGCTTTTATTGTTGACTACTTCTTGTACTCATTGTGGCTTTAATGGTGTTGTGCTCTATTCAGTTAGACGTAATAAATATGTCGACAAAGATGAGGACAATAGTCCGAATAATGTAAATAGTGTAAGTAGCAATATTACCAAATTGGCTATTTACTTCTGTTGCAGGCCCGGTAGGGTGCAGTGCTGGTTTATTACGAAGTGGCCTTGTGCCAGACACCACACTAAACTACCGAGTCTACAAGCAAAGTAAAAAAAATAAAAATGCGTGAATGAACAACGAAGTGATGTGGTTAGTCCACACGTGCATAAATTAAATATATTAAGATAGCCGGGCACAGAATGACAGAAAAGACTGATTCAAACAAGAGTAGTTTTTATTAAATGAAAGAAAAACAAGTAACTCATCTCATGGTAGAGATCAATGAAAATGTTCCGCGCCGAAATAGAAAGCAAGATGGCTAAAGGCGGGAAAAGTTCTTGAAGAAGACAGTTCCAGAAAAGTCAATCTACAGAATAATATACATACAAAGAAAAAATACTCACTGCGAGTTTTTGTTAGTGGTGAGGAAATGTTATGTATATTTTTTTAGGTACGGGTTCAAAGCGGATTAGAGTCCCGTGAATTGAGAGTGTATGTGATTTTTTTTTGTTTTTTTCCTTTTGTGTTCAGGTTTAAAGTAGGGTCTCAGAGTTCGGTCAGGTCTTGAATTAACTGTTGAAAATTTTAACGGAATGTTGTGGACGTCTAGCCAAAAGGACGAAGAGCTAGTGCGGTCGGTCGCATCGTCTATGAGAAGTTAATTATGGCGAGTCCAGAAGGGCGAAGAATTAATCATTGGTGTTTGCATCGCCTCGAAGAAGGATTTTGTGCGACTAGCCAAAAAGGGACGAAGAATTAATTATTTGTGGTCGCATCGTAAGATATCCTTCGTCTGTCAACCTTAAATATTGACATGGATAAAATGAGTCTGCTTAGGTCCGAGTCTGGATCACAACTAACTTTTGAAACAACAGTTTGTCCGTGACGTCACAGAAATTTCGCTGGAAGATTTCAAAAATCTAATTTGCATAAGAAGGAATAGCAGGTAGCTTGACTGACGGCAAAAACCAGTTTACTACTGTGTCTGACTGAAAGAGGCAGGAAGGGGTGTCAAACGCGCACGCGCACACGCGAGTGTGGAGGAAAGGGAGGAAACTCGCGTGCGCGTAAAATGTTGTAGATGGAATAATACATTATTCCACACTTCCTGCTGTGTAGAAGCACTTCTGTTTGAACATGACTGTGCATGTCAGTGTTGTCGTATTTTTAGATGTGTTAAGTTCAAATACAAGATATTAATCTGTATATTGTTTGACTTATACTTTAGCATCAAATCTGACAAAAACAATCATTTTTTATTTTAGATCCTTGTGTTAAAAACAATGGGGGATGTCAACATGTTTGCCTTCCCAAAAGAGATGGTTTCACCTGTGTCTGTGCTATAGGATATCGGCTGCAGGAAAATGGAGACTGTACCTCAGGTATGACATGAATTGATGGAATTCTTTAGATAATATATTGCCATTATTCTATGAATGACTTTCTATTATCATAATTTTTATTGTTTTGATCACCTCATTTCATCTTTTGTGTTCTCTGGCAATCTAATATTGCTTCAAAATCTAAAATGCCATTATCCTATAATTCATTTCAACTACTATCTGTATTAGTATCTATCTATATTTCTGAGATGAGGTATTATGTACACTATTTACATTATTCGGACTGTTGTCCTCATCTTTGTCGCCATATTTATTACAACGTTTCGGCTGTTGTACGCTTCGGCCTCCTTCAGGTGGTTGTAATGTCGAACTGAACCCTTTATTTTGCTTACTGGGGTAGATTTTCTTCAACGACACATGGCACACTGGATAAAGGCATTGGTTAGATCCAGTGACAGGACCCAAAGAGTGTGAGTTCAATACCCGGTTAAGGCAGTGGAGAACTTGCAGAGGGAAATTAACTGGAGATAACTGATAATTGACATCCATTAAACATGGCATATGGAACTAGAACAATCTACGCCTGTGAGCGAAATAAAGGGTTCAGTTCAACATTCCAACCACCTGAAGAAGGCCGGAGGGTACAACGGTCGAAATGTTGTAATAAATATGACGACAAAGATGAGGACAATAGTCTGAATAATGTAAATAGTGTACTATCTGTATTATTTACATTACTAATGTCCTCATCTTTGTTGTCATTATCACTATCGGGTGGCATTTAAGCTAGCTTCTGCAGAGGTCTCTTAATTGGGCTTTTGACCTAACAATGACACTTCATGCATTTGAATATATATTAAATTCTATTAAATTTGAACAATATTTAAAAAAAAAATAAACAGTTTTCATCAAAACAATGATATAATTTGTCTATTTCGGACTTATTGCAAAGCTGCATGATAAACAACATTTTTGGTTTTCACATTCGGGGTCAGTATATATAACTTGTTTCCATTCCCAACCCTTGAACAACCAACATAGAGCTGACCGTGAGTTAGTGACAGTTACTTTCAATGATTATCCTTGGGACTTATTGATTGACATTGCATTGCTCACTCTCACTGGAAACTGAAGTCTTTTGATCACAAAAGGAAGATCCAGAGGAATTAAGGGGATTCTTGGAATTAAAACTATTTCATACTTTTCTGGACCAGTAATGATCTCTGCTTTCAATAGATGAGGAAGCATATTTTTGACAATTACATATTTTTGAATCATTACAAAGCTTTGGAGGATCCAGAATTCTCAATAGCATAACTGGCACATTTTCTTTTAGTTTCAGCTTATGTGATGGCATTCCAGGAAGATTCAATGAGTTCAGGAACTCTATTGGATAATTCACTGCCTGCTCTTGTTCAATCACAGTGTCAACGGAAAAGTACTTCATGCTTTCTTTTGGAATTTCTTGGAGAAGTGTTGAGTTGATCCTATCTACAGTTTTATTCTTTGGAGCTTATATGGTCCTCTCACAAAGCCAGTTTGAATCTATGAAAAGGCATTGAATGTTTGGATGAACATTGTTAATCAAGTCTTGGATACTTGAGACTGAAACTCTACATCCATTTGTGAGTGGAATGTCTCCATTTTGGTATGGTTCCATTGCCAAACTGAAACAGCAAAGCAGCAAATCTTCCTGTTTCAAGGTCAACTGTTGTTCTAACTCTCATGTTTGTTTTCAGGCTGAGTCTTTGAACATGGCTCCAGATGTAAGAATTTTTCAGGAAAGCATTCATTTCATCAGCTGGGGTTCCTCTTGCAATGACTGGTAATGTTTGTCTAAAATCACCAGAGAGTAGCGAAGTGATACCTCCTATGATTTGTAAATTCTGCCTAATGTCTTTGAGTGTTTTATCCAGAGCTTCAAATGCTTGCTTGTGTGCCATGGTACATTCATCCCAGACAATAAAGCTTGTCTCCTCCAGCAGCTTAACCAAGTTGGTTCTTCTGTAAAATGTTGTAAATACTGGTTTCATTGTAGTTCAAATCCAATGAAAGTTTGAAGGTAGGTGCTGTGTACTTGTAGACGCTCCAGGTAAGAGGGTAGCAGCAATTCCAGATAATTCTACTGCTAGAGTTACTTTTCTTTGGAGTCTCACTGCAGATAAAAGAAGGTCAGTTACAAAAGTTTTACCATTGCCTCAAGCTGCACCCAAGAAGCAAATCTCTCCATTGTTGTTGCTGATGTCATCAAGGACCTTCTGACACACTTGCTGTTGGTCTTGGTTCAACAGGGGCTCATGGTTTTGAACACATTGCTGCAGTTCTTCCATGTTGTATCCAGTTTCTCTCAAAATTTCTCTGTTGATTTGTTCAGTTTCTCTGTTTGGATTTGGCAGACCAAAATTGCTGAAATCTCTTTGAGCCAAGTTCATCACTCTGTCTTCAATTTCACAGAAAGCTAAATTTTTAATCTGAGGATCCAATTCCAGCAATTCATCTCATTTGATGAAGAATATCCTCGCTGAGGGCCTCCTAATATTTTTTCCGAAGAGTAACTGCATTGGGAGGTTTGCAGATGGCAATCATTACTGAAAACAGATCTCTGACCTCATATCAGCCGAGGTACATATGAACCCTGAAGGTCCTTGTAACATTAATGGGGGTCCACACAAAAAATAGCAAATTGGAGATCCACGGTAATATTTTAGTGGTTCATAGAGCAATTTCACTTCAGAACGATTGCTACAATTAAGAATCAGAATTTCTACAGTAGCTTACACCATATTAAAATGCTAAAAATAGAAAACAATGCTAAAACTAACAGAACATGAGATCAAATGATGTAAGTTATAGCATCCCTTTTACTCTACCAGATATTTTGATTGTAAAATTGAATAAAAACTGAGAAGGATAAAAGAAAGATTTATATATATATATATATATATATATATATATATATATATATATATATATATAAATCTTTCCTTTATCCTTCTCAGTTTTATTCAATATATATATATATATATATATAAATCTTCGTTTATCCTTCTCAGTTTTTATTCAATATATATATATATATATATATATATATATATATATATATATATATATATATATATAAAGGAAAATTATATAAAGAATATAATTTATTATATAAATTAATTTATCATATCAATAATAATATTAATTTTAAATATTGATAAAATAACATAAAATATTAATATATTAATATAAATTAATTAATTTAATATATTAATTTAATAATTAATTTAATATATTAATTAATTTAATACATTAATAATGAATAAAAATATTAATCTTAAATATTAATAAAATAAAATATTAATATAAATTAATTAATATAGTAATAGACTCGGCATTGTGAAAAGGTGGAGGGTGATCTTTGGCTATTATTGGCATTGATGGAGTCGAATATAAAAAAAAAAAACTCACAGAACAGCTTTAACAACAGAGGTCTCATTGAATAAATCTGCTCTTTTTAAAAATTTATTAATTACTCACATATTTTAAAATGGTTTATTAGGAGTTATTTTACTACTGTACATAAATGTTTTATAGAATTTAGTTGTTAAGTTGAATTTTATTTTTATTAAATTAGTTTTACTTCAAGATAATGCATATACATTTATTGTTTCTATAATACAATTCCTAAACTTGTCTATTAGTAAAAAAAATAAAATAGGATTTTTTTTTCATTGTATTGTTATGGGTGGCGGTCTAAAAAAAAAAAAAAAAAAATGAGTAAAAGTGGCCCATGGGTAAAAAACCCACTGGGTTAGTGCAACACAGAGAAATCTAAAGTAATGGTGAATAGCACAAGCAACACCAGTGCGAGTGTTGATATTTAAATATTTAAAAATATGAATGTTATGATCCTTGTTTTTAATAATTACAAGCTGAATAAGGTATTTTTTTTTTTGCAGTTATTAAAAACAAGTATCATAACATTCATCAAGTAGTTCGTAGGTTAATAATGCAACTTTAAAAATTTTGTTTGCCAAGAGTTTTCGCTATTTTATATCATTAACTTTACTAATCTACTTTTTGTATGAATGATTCATTGTAATATATATATATATGTATATATTTTTTTTATTGCAGATATTGTTTACGATGAATTTCTATTGGTAGCTGACCAACGTTTGCGCCGCCTTTACCAGATCGATCTCTGGAAAGTGGAACTTAATGCCTTGCCAATATTCCCTCTGACCCAGCCGATTGATGTGGCTTTTGATTACACAGAAATGATGGTTGGTATAATTATTGACCTATTGGAAATCAAAGAGGTTCATTTAAATACAAAGCATCAAGATTCCTCATAAGAAAGGTTCTAAAAACACTACCTAACATAATTAACCTGTCTGGTTGCTTCTATATTCTTATTTGATATTAAAATTCCAATATAGAATAATCTTCATTCTGGCTAGTTGACTATATAGGTCTTGTTTCGGTACACTAGTGTGTATTTGTCATGATTTTGTTGCATGTGATAGCCATCGAGGTGGTCTGTGAATGTCAGTGTTGCTTACACGTTGCTGGTTTCTCTTGTCAATGGTTGTGGTTGCTGCTAGTACCTGAATAAGGTGGTTAGTAATAATGGACAAACACATGCGAATAAGTGTGAAGACTGATCTATTTTGGATCTCTGAACATAGACTAACAAATTAATTTTATTCACCTCCTGAGACAATGAAAGCTTAATCCATTTTGCTGACATATGTGCCATCCATCTCCTCAAAGTAAATATTGAGTAGGCTCTGTGACAGTGTCGGAGTTACCAAGTTTGGGGTCCAGTGTGACATCCTTTTATGGTGGATACATGTTTTTAGATTGCTTGATTTTGTTGTTATCTGTTTTCAGGTCCCTTTCTTTTCTGATGTATATCTCTTGAATGTTTATACTTGGTTACTTTTTATGCTTCTTCATGTCAGTGTTATTTACTGTTTGTGATTCAAGGAAAAACACAAAGAAAATGTATTCTTGCATAGTTGTCATTGAATCTGTGGTTTTTGCATTTTTATATCTAAATTTTTATCCTGTTGTCCTGTATTCACTACAATATCTGTGTAGAATAAGTGGCTCAATGTATAGGGAAAGTCCCAAAGGCTTGTCTTCCAAGTTTATTTTTAGTGGTATGATCAGATGTCATAACTGGTGACCTTTTTGGCTGCAGGAGTTACTACATAGGTTTTGGAGTATCCCATGGATCTGCATCAGAATCAAAGTTATCTATTTGTTAATATTGTTTATAAGCCAGGCATAATTTACTGGCTATTTAGTGCTAGGAAGAATAATGATTTCCTGTACACCAAGTACTGATATTAGCAGTAGTGTAGCCATTAATACACTAGCACTGAATATGGATATGGAAAGAGGAGATACACGTCCATATTAAAGAAAACATTTAATAAGACAAATACAACTTAAATATACATGTTAAAATGATTTACACATATCCTAAAACAAATGAGTGTTCACGCAGTTCAAATGATAAGAATGTTTGACAGAAAAATGAACAAAGAAATAAACATACCAGCCTTATATTTTTTGACTGTCCTTAGCAAGGTGAACCAAAATGACCTTTTCACTTTACGTTAGGCTGTGTACATGCTGTGTACACAGCGTGTCCATGTGTGTACACTCCGGTATTAACAAGGTCATAAACATTCCCCAAATGGAAGTAAAAAAAGGAAGAAGAATTCTACTTTTTAAAAGGGCTGAACTCCCACACGTTCAACCCAAGAGAAAAAAAAAAAACTGGTGTTTCCCTACATACACTATTTACATTATTCGGACTATTGTCCTCATCTTTGTTGCCATGTTTATCACAACGTTTCAGCTGTTGTACACTCCAGCCTTCTTCAGATGGTTGGAATGTTGAACTGAACCCTTTATTTTGCTCACTGGGGTAGACTGTTCTAGTTCCATGTGCCATGTCTAATTTCAGTTGTCAGTTATCTCCTTGAAGACACATGGAACAGTGGATAAAGGTGTTAGTTAGATCCAGTGACAGGACCCAAAGAGTGTGAGTTCAATACCTGGTTAAGGCAGTGGAGAACTTTCAGAGGGGAATTAACAAGAGATAACTGACATCCATTAGACATGGCACATGGAACTAGAACAGTCTACCCCAGTGAGCGAAATAAAGGGTTCAGTTCGATTCGACATTCCAACCACCTGAAGAAGGCCGGAGCATACAACGGTTGAAACGTTGTGATAAACATGGCAACAAAGATGAGTCCGAATAATGTAAATAATGTACATAATACCTCATCTCAGAAATATAGACAGATATTTCCCTACATATCTTTTAAAATGATTACCAACTGAAACTGAAAAAGTCCAGTTGGCCTTGCTATTTATTCATATCTGGTGAATTCACAATAGCATACTATACAATCGGAATGTTAACCATCATTGATCCTGGGTAGTAGCTAGATAGGTGACCATTTGTGAATGCCAGGTGCCGTAAGCTTGGATACATGGGCAGATATAATGAATAACAGCGAGGAATTGAAAATCAGAGAGCCATGTTCTAATTCCAGTTGGGTTCGTTATATTCACTTATGTGCAAATACCCTTGGGTAAATTATGCATCCTTTTCTTCCCCCGGCTATGGGTTAATTAGTAGAAGTTTTACCAGTAAATCATTATTATCTCTGAAAAATTCTTGCAATCTAAAAATATTTTCTGGCTTTAAATAACCTGCAAAAGATTGATAAGTCACAAAAAACAAATCAATCATACACCAAAGTTGATTTACTCTACTATATGTATATAGAGTTACCTGAGTTACATATTTACTTGGTTTAGCGTTGGATGTTTGTGTACAAGCACTATTTCTACTGACGTCAATATCCTGCTACTTTTGCTATCATACATCTTAAAGGGCATAAAAAACTGTAGACCAAGAGTATGATGATATTTCTGACAAGAGAGTATGACATTTGCATGTCGGTGATTAGTGACCATAATATTGTACTCTAAGTCAGTATTAAATGTTGAAATGTAACTGTTCAAAGTATCACTAACAAGTCTAAGTATCACATATACTTGAAAAACACCTGAAGTACAATTTAGTTGGCTATACTGAATTCACTTGAACTACAATACAACAAAGTATTACTTGTGTCCTACCTGATACAAGAATTATGTGACCCATGAGAATGTACAAGATTTGCAAATCTAGCATGGACAACAGTAACTTTTAATGAAATCAGTATCAAGAACATTACATCTAAGTATAAGATTATTCAAATATCTTTCCCGAATAAATCAAATTTCCTTAACAGTTCAAATAGATCCTTGTGTTGTACATTATGTAATGTCTATCCTCCTGTATAGTATTGAATACTGGACAATTTCCTCACAAATAAATACTTGAAGCAACAAAGATGTGTTTCTACTGAGAATACCATGGACAGAACAAGTGAGCAATTAGGAAGTTTTATGGACAATAGAAGTGAAAAGGACACTTTTGCTATTTTTTTTTAATTGAATTCATCCCATGCAAGGCAGTAAAACAACTGAGACACAAGGGGTTACTTGGTGTGAAAGAGAAGCAAAAACATTGCTAACGAGTTAGAACAAAAGAAGAGTAATCAGGAAGACAGTAGATAGCGATTGGGATTGCATTTAAATATTTGAAGATTAAAATTGGCTGGAAAGCATGGCACTGGAAGGGAGTTTCATTAGTGAGAAGTGTGAGAAATGAAACTGTCAGCATAGAATTTAACGTTACATCCAGCCAACTCAACTGTAAATTAGTGAAACGTCATTGCCAGTCTAATACTGCCCTTAAATTCAAAGAATCTAGGCATAACAGCAAAGAGCTCACCCAAACAATTACCATGAAAGTATTTTTAGAAAAGGCAAAGAGAGGCAACTTTATGGCAGTGGGAAAGTGACTGAAGCTGAACTGCTAGATCAGGACCAATTGCTGATTCTTCTGGAAAAATAGCAGGCGCACCAGGCCATATGCTTATGATCAGGAATAGACAGTTAAAATTTCTTGGACATAATTAGGATAGGGGGCTTGGAGAATTTGACACTCACAGGACACAGTGAAGGCAATAGGAGCAAATGGAGATATTGAATAACTTAAGTTATGAGTTTGTGTCAACTGTAACAACTCCCAGAAAAGGGTTGGATTGTGCTCTTTTGCCATCAACCAGCCTTAGAGTAAGACGTGAATTCAATACAAAACCAGAACTGCACAAAAATTGTCATCCAACTACAATGACTAACAACAGTAAGTAGAATGCAAACATCTCAATCCAGTTTGAGCTAAATTCTGAACTTTTTAATTACATACAAACTTTATTAACTTTGTCAGATTCATTATGCTATCTTTTGCATATCTCTCTGCATAGTAGTAGTCATAGTAGTCATTAATACAGTGTCCTGAATAGCAACTGGGTAGGCTAGGCATAGCCATTCTATGTTCACCAGTTGTTCTCTATTTATATTTGTTTATCTAATTTGCATACGATACTACACATTATTATTATTTTTTTTGGGGGGGGTATTCATTCTATCAATAAATGTTTTGTTTTATTCTCTCACTGACCAAATCATGGACTAAGAAGTTAATAGACTTCAACACACACCTACCAGCATTTACAATTCAATTGGGTTTGGTTTGGTTTGTTTTACGTCATATCAACCTCAGTGGGTTATTTAATTGCTGGTAATAATTTCTATCTATCTATCTATCTATCTATCTATGGTTTGATTTGTTTTGTTTTACAGCATATCAATCTCAATGGGTTATATAATGCCGACAAGATTTTTATTGCTGGTAATATTTTTATCTATCTATCTATCTATCTATCTATCTATCTATCTATCTATCATATATTTGATTTGTTATTTCATCATATCAATCTTATCTATCTATCTATTTATTCTGGTAATATTTTTATCTATCTATCTATATATTGGTTTGATTTGTTTTGATTTACGGCATATCAATCTTAATGGGTTATATAATGCTGACAAGATTTTTATTGCTGGTAATATTTTTATCTATCTATCTATCTATTGGTCTGGTTTGTTTTGTTTTACTGCATATCAGCCTCAATGGGTTATTTCATGCTGACAAGATTTTTATTGCTGGTGGTATTTTTTTTCGAAAATATATTGCTGGTAATAATTTTTTCTGCAAAAAGTCATTGCTGGTACTAAAACCTATTTTTATACTTTCATAGTGCTTTGACCCCAGTTTGTGGGGGGTTAACTATTTGCCTAT